AAGATGAAAAATCGTAGCAGGGAATGATGAGAAATCTTATTAGAAGAAGACGAAGAGATAATGAAAGGAATAGGGTCGGGAAATGTGATCTGACAGGTAGGAGTGGTGCAGGAGTAATATTGGGTGGGTAGGTACATTAAGGGCATTTTGGACATTTACATTGTTAAATTTACCTGAAATGGAAGTGAGAAAATATTTTCGGGACAACCATGTAAAGAAAGTGGGACCGTATTTTCAGGATGGAAGGAGTATCAATGATCAAGGGACCAAACCAGAAATCAAGTCAATGGAAATATGCAGATCGAATTTGTCCATTTGAATATGGAAAATGAAAATGAATGTAAAAAGAAATTCAATCTCATTCCCAAACATTGTACTGTAATAACATATGTTTTCCAAGGCAATCACAATTATTCATTTTATATGAATCCAAGTAGGGCCATGCTTTAGAGAAGGAAAAAGAAAATTGGAGTAAAAATGGAAGAGTGAAGGAAAAAGTAGGAAGAAAGGGAAAATTAACTCCCAAGAGAACATGCTCCAAGACTAATGGTTAACAGGTGGAAACTTTCAACTTACGTTGAATTGTATCCACTTCGGGACTGTTCTCAGATTTGTTTTAAAGGCCTTCTATCCCAGAACTTTAAAACTTGGGGTCCTGATCTAATGCTATCGAAAAATCTTGTCATGTTTCAATTCAGGCATTATATGGAATCATTTTGAGTTCCCTGAGTTTTTTTTACTTAATTTGATATCACTATTGCTTTTGCCGAGTCTTTCTTGTTAATTCAGTACCTTTTGTCCAGTGCTGGGGAACTGATACCTAAATTCGATTATTATCTGATAGATGTATGACAACAAGAAGAGACTTTCCTGATGGCACACTTTGGAGAACACCAGTTGAAACATTCAATAAGTTTATGGTTGATGATCTTAGCAAGGTGACAAAAAGCTCAACAACAGATATAGCTAATATAAGATCTGCAAAAGTACGCACTTGGAAAGCAGTTGCTGATATTTATGAAATATTTCTTGTGGGATATTGTGGTCGTGCTCTGCCTTCAAATGCACTTTCTATGTTGGCCCTGAAAGCTGATGAGTCTCTTGAAATGAATATCTTGGATATCCTGGGAGACAAGATTCTCAATTCCCAGACTGATGCACCCACTGATGTAATCATGAGACTTCAATCTTATTACATATGTTCACCTACCACAACTATGTGTTGTCTCTCACAAGTTGCAATATCCTAATGCAATTTGATTTGTTCCGCAGATACTGCAGCGATTAATCTCCACCTTAGATATATGTGCTTCAAGGACTTGCTCCTTGCCACTTGAGACTGTTGAACTTATCCCTCCACATTGCA